TATAAGATCTGCGACTATCTAGTTCATTTCCATTCAATTTCTATGACACTGATTACTGTAGTTCTTTTGACTACTTGATATTTTTCTTAAATGTCTTCAGGCCCACATCACCAAGTATATACTTATGTGCAAAGAAAGGGCAACATGTATATTTTGCTGATAAAGATATTAGATTTGGTAAGTGGAATTTGTTATTTTTATATAAGAATAGTTTTAGTATAAATTATTTAGAAGCATTTGTCACACAAATTGAACTGTTATTAGTGTAAATTCATAGGCCTCAAATTAATTTTATGCACTTTCAGCCATGAGGAAAAGACTTTAACTTCTGTTCTATTTCTAATATATGCTTTAAAATTAGCATGCATTGTTCATATATTTTAGTATAAATAAAGATTATCTTTTATTTTTTTTGAGACAGAGTCTTGCTCTGTCGCCCAGGCTGGAGTAAAAAGGTGTGATCTCAGCCCACTGCAAACTCAGCCTCCTGGTTTCAAGTAATTCTCCTGCCTCAGCCTTCTAAGTGGCTGAGATTACAAGCGTGAGCCACTATGCCCAACTAATTTTTGCATTTTTAGTAGAGATGAGGTTTCACCATGTTGGCCAGGTTGGTCTTGAGCTCCCAACCTCAGATGATCCACCTGCTTCAGCCTCCCCAAATGCTGGGATTACAGGTGTGAGCCACCTCACCCGCCTAAATATTCTCTAAATTGTTACAACTACATTGAGATCATAGCAGAGATAATGATCCCAAAAGTATTAAAAAGAGGTAGACATTTCTGTTAAACATGTTCTTCTATTTTCTAACGTGATCTCCTAATTACTTAGCACACACAAAAAATGATATACTAACTGAATAAATTAGCTGATAAGCAAAAAAAAAAAAAAAACCAGATTTCTAGAAAGGTTAGTTATAATTTCTCAGCTATGTTTCTGTCCTTTTTAACTAATCACAATCTAATTTCTGGTATTTATTATTTTAGTGAACTATAATATTAAGGATATCAGAATTTTCATTGTTGAGTAGTAAAAGTTTAGGATTAAATATATGCTGTTGGAACATATTTTCATTTAAAATTAAAATAATTATTTGATTATTTCATTTGTTTAAAATAAATTATTACTATTTGTTATTGTAGGCCCTATAAGGCATACAATATTATTTCAAATGTATTTCTCAATAAAAATGTTGAACAATTATCCAAAATATATTGTTATAAATTTTAAAAATTGTTGATGTCTGTAATATTGGGAGTATCTACTAAGGCATCAGAAGTATGAGCATGTTATTTTTAAATGGTAACACTAAATTTTACAGTAAAACATTTTAGGCGTTATACATTTAATTTAAACATAAAAACTGAGTTTCAGCATAGTTTAGATAACATGTTCAAGGATGCATAGTAAATAAATAAGAGTGCTAAGATTCAAAAGCATGTCTCTCACTATAAAAACTATTATTTTTTTTAACTGTGCTGACTCTAGACACTTTAATTGTTATATACCATATTTATACTTATTTTAAGGGCATATGTACTATTTTTAATATTAAAATGTTTATTGAAATTATTGTAGATTCATATTCAGACATAAGAAATAATAGCTATCCTGAGTACCCCTTACCCAGTTTCTTTCAAGATAATGTTTTACAATAGCACAATTATTATATGTAATAGTACATGCATATTCACAAACCATGTTCAGATTTTCTAGTTTTCTTTATACTTGTGTATGTGTATATAAATGTGTTAGTTCCACACAGTTTTATCACGTGTAGGTTCATGTATCCACCACCACAGTGAAGATACGAAGCAACTCCATCACCATAAAGTGACTTTCTGTTGTTTTTTTACAACCACACTGAGCTCTTGCCACCCCCACCTCCTAGTGCCTAACCTCTGACAATCACTAAAAAATGCATTCTCAATCTGTATACTTTTGTAATTTCAAGAATGTTATATAAAATAAATCATAAATGTTCCATTTGATATTGGCTTTTTTCACTCAGCATAATAACTGTGAGATCTATCCAAATTATTGTGTATATAAACAGCTTATTACTTTTTATTGCTGACTAATATTCCATCCATCGTATATTACATGTTGGTGTAACCATTTACCTGTTGAAAAATCTCTAAAGTTGTTTCAGTAGTTTTTAGCAATTCCAAGTAAAGCTGAAACGAATATCCATGTACAGGTTTTTGTGTGAACATATATTTTTATTTCTCTGGGATAAATATCCAAGAGTGCAATTGCTTGGACATATGGTAACTGCATGTTTAGTTTCATACCAAACTGCTGAAGTACTTTTAGAGTGGCTGAACCATTTTTTTTTAATTTTAACATCTCCATGGGCAGCGATTCAATAATCCAGTTTCTTCACGTTGTCACTGGTAGCATCTGATGTCATTACTATTCTTAATTTCAACCATTCTGATAAAATGTATTGTGAGATTACATTGTGGTTTTAATTTTTTTCTCTTTTGGCTAAAGATGTTGAACACCTTTTCATGAGATTATTTGCCATTTATATATCCTCTTCAGTGGTATAACCCTTTATTCCTTTTGTCCATTTTCTAATTGTGTTATTTATATTTTTACTGTTAAGTTTTGAGAGTTCTTTATAAGTTCTAGATACAGGTTTTTTTGATATATATGTGGTTTAACAAATGTGATCTTCCATTCTGTAGCTTTCTATTTATCCTATTCAGATGGTATTTCACAGAGTAAAAGTTTTTATTTTGATGAGGCCTAATTTATCATTTTACTTTTATAGATTATACTTGTAATGTCTAAGAACTCTTTTTCCAGGCATGAAAGTTTTAACATAATTGTTTGTTCAAAAAAAGCTCATACTTTTAGGTTTTTCGTTTGAATAAATTTTATAGGTTGAATCATTTTTGTGAAAAGTGAAAAGTGTGAAGTTTGCTATGATTTGGATGCAGTCTTTTTTGTCCCTACCAAAATTCGTACTGACATTTGATCCGCAATGTGTTCGGATTGAGATTAGGGCCTAGTGGGAGGTGTTTTGGTTGTGAGGTTGGAGGATCCCTCATGACTGGCTTGGTGTTGTTCTTGGGGAACTGAGTTCTTGTTCTTGCAAGCATGATTCTTGCTAGAATGGATTGGTTTCTGTGAAAGCGACTTGTCACAAAACCAGGACACCCCTCAGGTTTTCACCTTATTGCATGTGGTCTGCTTCTCCCTTGATCTTCTCCACCACATTTGTGCCACAGCATGGAAAGCCCTGGTCAGAAACCAGGGCCATGCCCTCATATTTCTCAGCCTGCAGAACCCTGAGTTAAAAAATCCTTTTTTATTGATAAATAACCCTGTTTCAGGTATTCTTTTATAGCAGTACAAAATGGCATAAGAATGGATTAATACAAAGTTTAACAGAGAATCATGCGTGTGTTTTGTTTTCGTTTTGGTCTATGGTTATCCAAATTTCTCTAGCACCATTTGTTAAAAGGCTATACTTCTTCCATTTAATTGTTTTTCATCTTTATTAAAATTTAGTTGAGTTTATTTATTTACTACATAGTCTTGATTTCTGTAGTTACAGAGCAAGTCTTGAATTTAAAAAACTGATTCCCCTCAATATATTCATATTTTTCAAACTGTTTTTGGTATTTTAGTTCCTTTGTTCTGTATATAAATTTTATAATAATCTTGTCTATATCTATAAAAAAAACTTGTGAATACAATAAGAATTAGGTTAAACCTATACATTAATTTGGGTAACATTGACATTTTTACTCTGCCAATTTTTCCGGTTTATGAATATTTTATGTCTTTCCATTTATTTACATCATTTTGGATTTCCTCCATCAATTTTTTGTGGCTTCGAGCATACAAGTCTTACAAATGTTTTGTTACATTTTTTGTACAATTGTAAATGGTATTACATATTTAATTTCCACATGATATGTTCATGGATAGTATATAGAAATATAATTGATTTTTATATGTTGATCTTATATTACCTTGTTAAACTCACAAACTTTTGTTTTTGCAAATTCTTTAGAATTTTCTAACTGGAGTTCAACCATTGTGGAAGACAGTGTGGCGATACCTCAAGGATCTAGAAATAGAAATTCCATTTGACCCGCAATCCCATTACTGGGTATATACCCAAAGGATCATAAATTGTTCTGTTATAAAGCCACATGCACATGGATGTTCATTGCAGCACTGTTTACAGTAGCAAAGATCTGGAACCAACCCAAATGCCCATCAATGATAGACTGGAAAAGGAAAATGTGGCACATATACACCATGGAATACTATGCAGCCATAAAAAATGATGAGTTCATGTCCTTTGTAGGGACATGGATGAATCTGGAAACCACATAATTCTCAGCAAACTGACACAAGAACAGAAACCCAAACACCACATGTTGTCACTCACAGGTGGGTGTTGAACAATGAGAACACGTGGACACAGGGGGTGAGGGAATGTGTTCTCTTTCTGGGTCCACAAGGGGGCGTAGTTTTAAGGGCAAGAACTTCCCAGTGCCATGCCCCCCTCCCATCTCTCTCCATCAGGGAGATTTAATGGTTTATGTTTGGATTTCGCAGGCACAGGAAGAAACTGAGAGTCAATCATCCCAGCAGAAGTTCTAAGGAACTCCTTTCACTGGCCTGGGGTCTTAGGGAAGGCAGGGTTCCTCCTGGGTTAAAAGTCCCCTACTTCCACACCCTTTCAGACTCCATGTTTGGATCCCCTTCCACGAACACTCTTGTGGAAGTTGTTTTTCTCTCTCCTGGATTTCCCCTCTGGAGTCCCCTTCCACACTCTCTTGTGGAAGCCTGGTCTTCTCCTCCTAAACTCCATCTCTCTCTAATCCCTTCCACTCAGTGTGGAAGCTGCCTTTCTCTCCTGGATTCCATCTTTCTGGATTCTCTCACTCAGTTTGAGAGTTAGCTGTTTCTTTCTCTCTCCTTCTCCTGTTTCTCTCTCTGTCTTTCTAAATAAATCATTTTTTTTTTAACGCGGTCAGGCAGATCTTGGCTCCCAGGCATCCCACAAAGTAGGCAGTTCACCTCAGGGGCAACCTTTACCAGCTCAAAAATTCGTCTCACATTAGCAGTGAGGATTCAGGCATCACCCTGAATCATTATTTTCCTTAATCATAAATTTAAGGCATTTCTACAAACACTTTTGAGTCCGGCATTTACTGAGCACTGCGCCGTGGTCCCCTCTTTCATTCTTGAGAGGGCAGGAGACCAAGAACCTGGAGAAACATCCTCTCAGGGGAGCTGAACCCCTGAACCCCAATATAACAGGAGGGGAACATTACACAATGGAGTAGGTGGCGGGAGGCTAAGGGAGGGACAGCAGGGGGTGAGGAGTCTGGGAAGGATAACGTGGGGAGAAACACCAGGTGATGGGAGGATGGAGGATGAAACCACTTTGCTAAGTATGTACCTATTGCAATGAACCTGCATGATCAGCACATGTACCTCAGAACCTAAAATACAATTTAAAAAAAAAGAATTTTCTAATTGACCTATCATGTCACTGCAAATAGAAAGAGTTTTATTTCTTCCTTTCTATTTGCCTGCATGCTTCTATTTGCTTTTCTTGCCTTACTGAAATCACTAGATTTGTAGTATTACAGAAAGTGAACTTGTCCAACCCATGGCTTGTGGGCCACATGAGGTCCAGGACAGATTTGTATGTGGCCCAACACAAATTAGTGAGCTTTATTAAAACATTTTGTGTGTGACTTTTTCTGTAGCTCATCAGCTATTGTTAGTGTTACTGTATTTTATGTGTGGCCCAAGACAATGCTTCATCCAATGTGGCCCAGGGAAGCTGGAAGATTGGACAGCCTGGAAAGTATATTAAATAGGAGGAATGATGTTTAGAGCCTCCTTGTAATACATTTAAATGTTAAGTCTCCACCCCAAGGTGAGTAGGGAAGCATGTTGAAAGACTGTTGGCTACTACACATTCTCTTGCCTCCCTTTTGTGAGTTTCCATTGCTCCTCCAATAACCTGCTGAACATATGTACTTAGCCAACCTGCTCAGCGTACATTCCTGTTCCCTTGACCCATCCCCTGAAGTACTTGTTCTGGAGGTTACACTTCCCAGCTGCAAGATGGCCAGCCTGCAAGCTGCAATGCTTTATGAGAAATAAAGCTCTTTTTCCAAATTAATGAACTTCATCATTCTTCAGTTGGAAGATTTCAGGACATTTCTTTTTCTTGTACAGTGACTAAGCATATTCATTGAACTGATGACCTGCATTAGCTAGTTTGGTTAATGATTTCCTAGAACAGACTTTTGTGAGGTTTATACTATTTTCATTGATGTAACTAAGCAGCTGACATGGAGGCCCTCTGTGTTCAGCGTCCATAGACTGGCCAGAGCCACTCTGTGGTCAGTGGTCTCTCATCAGGAAGGAATGCTGGTCAGTCCTGTGTCAAAACCGTAGGGGAGGGGCACATGAGGTTTGGTTGGTATCAGAGATAGAGCGAGTCTTTCCAAAGGGATAGTTTCTATGTAACCCTTAAATAGAAAGCCAATGGCAGTCAGCAAGGGCAGCCGTATAACAAGGGTGGCTGACCTTCCCTCCTCTCATGGCCAGGAACTCAGTTTTTAAGGTCTCTCCAGGGTCCCCTTGGCCAAGAGGAGATCTATTCCGCTGGGTGGAGGCTTAAAATTTTATTTCTCAAATCTTACAGTACATATATAACAAGTGTTTCCCCAAATCTAGACAATATTGAATTTTATATAATGTGACCAATCTTGAATTGAAAACAGAAAGAAAAAACAATGCTCTAAATCTTCAAAAATAAATTTTAATCAAACACACTAGAAAAAGATCTGAATTATCTTTCTATTCTCTCTATAGAAAATGGTATTGCAAAATTGTGTTTTGAGGAGATGATCAAAGAGGGTACAACCAAAATAGGTAAGAAAAAGTGTTTTAGAATTGCCTGTGAAAATTGATAATTTTTTTTTCAATTTTGTGACATTTAAGTTATGTTTCAGATTTTTGACATTTGTAATTAGTTTGGAAAGTTCTTAATCATGCTTCTTCCTGTGATATTGTGAAATGTATATTTGGTCTTCTGGTTTCCTGATGCATAGCTCCTAAAATCCTCAGGATCTCCGGAGTGATGAGTGTCCCTTGTATGCTAATGAGATGACTGGAGCCCCTCAATAGCCTCAGGTGGGGACTGTTCACTGTTTTCTATCCTCCCAAGAGGGAAGGTTGAAACTTTCAGCCCACCTCCTACTTCACTATACCTCAACAACCTCTCTCACATCCAGGGAGGATAGAAAGGCTGATATTGAGTTGATCACCAACAGCCGATGATATAATCAATCATGCCTACGTAAGGCAGTTTCCATAAAAAAACATAAGGACTGAGCTTTGGAATCTTCCAGATAGCAGAACTTGTAGAAGTTCCTGCAGGGTAGTGTATCCAGAGACAGCATGGAAGCCCTGTGCCTCTTTTACCCATATTTTGCCTTATGCATCTCTTCCCTCTGGCTATTCATCTGTATCCTTTGTAATTTATCCTTATAATAAATGGAAAAGTATAAGAAAAAAAAATAAGAGAAATGAAAGCAGAAATTCTGTCTTTCACTATTAAGTGTAATGTTAGCTACAGAATATTGGTGGGTTTTCTTTATCAAGTTAAAATAATTCTTCTGTATTCCTAACTTGCTGAGAGTTTTAATAAAAAACTAGTGTTAGATTTTGTCAAACTCTTTTTCTGCATCAACTGATATGGTCACATTTTTTTTTCTTTTTAGCTTCTTGATGTGGTAGATTATATTTATTGATTTTCATGCATTAAACCACCCTTTGCTATGGTCAGAATATTTGTGTCATCCTGAAATTTATACATTGAAATTCTAACTCCCAAGACAATGATAATTGGGAGCTGGAGACATTTGCGTCATGAGGATAGAGTTCTTATGCATAGTATTAGTGTCTTCATAAAAGAGGCACCAGAGAGATGCCTTGCTTTTTCCACTGTCAGAGCACAGTGAGAGACACCATCTATAAACCAGAAAACAAACTCTAACAGAGCTGTGTATCTGTCATGATCTTGATTTCTCAGCCTCTAGAACTATAAGATATAAATTTCTTTTGTTGACAAGCTAGTCAGTCAATGGTATTCTATTATTACAGTCTGAACCAGACTAAGACAGCCTAGTATCTATTTAATGACTTTACATAGATGTGATGTATAATTATTTTTATATATTGCTGGATTGGCTAATATTTTATTAAAGATTTGTCTCTACTAAAAATACAAACATTAGCTGGGCAGGGTGATGCCCAGCTGTAGTCCTAGCTACTCAGGAGGCTGAGGCAGGAGAAGTGCTTCAACCCGGGAGGCGGAGGTTGCAGTGAGCCGAGATCATGCCATTGCACTCCAGCCTGGCACCTAGAAACAGAGCGAGACTCTGTCTCAAAAAAAAAAACTAAAAATATTTTTGTCTGTATTTATGAAGGCCATTTGTCTGTAATTTTTAAAAAAATACATTCTTCTCATTTTGATATTAAGATAATATTACCTTTATCAAACGAATTGAAAAGTGTGTCTCCTGTTTTCTGGAAGAGTTTGATTTGAATTGGTATCAAGTATTTAAATTTTAAGTAGAATTATCTCCTGAAATCATCTGGACCTGGAGATTTATTTTTGGGAGTATTTAATTATGACTAATTTCCTTGATTATTATAGAGCTATTCAAATCATCTGTTTTATATTTGGTTAGTTGTGGTAGTTAGTGTTTTAGAGGAAGAGATCAATTTAATCTAATTTGTTAAATTTATGTGTGTGGAGATGTTTGTAATAGTTCCCTATTATTCTTTTGATATCTAAATTTATAGAAATATCCTTTTTTATTTCTGATATTTATAATTTGTAACTTTTTTTTCAATTGTTAGTTTTTAATTTTTATTAAGTTTTGCACATGAACTGCCAATTTTTCTGGAATATTTGTTGAATCACACTATTATTTTCCTAGTGAATTGCTTTCGTACTTTCATTGAAACTCAATTGATCATCTACATGTGGGTCTATTTCTGCACTCCCTACTGTTCCATTGATCTAATTGTCTAGTCCTATGCCAGTAGACCACAGTCTTGATGAGCCTAACTCTGTGACCCTAAGTACTGTAACCATGACATTAAATGCAAGATGTGAAACTATAAAAGTTTTAGAAGTAAATATTTTTATAGTCATTAAAAATGACAAGTGGAGAAAAATGTCCCTTAAATACAAACCAGAAATATCTGGTAATATTAAATATATATAACAACCAAGTTTAATTTACTTTTGTAACTGGAGGCTGCTTTAATCAATGCATATAACCCACAACACTAACAAAAATAATACGATTATCACAATAAAATTTAGAATAAACATTTAATACAATATACATTCATGATAACAACACTTAGATGACTAAATATAGGAAGAAAATTTCTTAATTTGATTAAAAATCTAAAATAGTTTGATCACAAACATGTTTAATTGTGATATTTTGAAAATATCTGTCTGAGAATAAAAAATGACAATACCTATCATCCCTTCTTTTAGACATTTTATTAAAGACTTATATAGTGATATAAGGCAATAGAAAATGTATAAAGATTAAAAGGAAGACATAAAAGTCTTCTCATTCACAGATTATGTGATTCTGATATATAACCTCCAAAAAACAGCACGTACATTATGAGAATTAGTTAATTCATTTAGCAAAATCATTGGCTACAAAGTCAATATACAAAAGTTTACGTTTCCATATAACAAAATCAAAAGGCAGAAAAAAGATATTTGAAATTATGTAACTTAATTCCATGTACACAAATGCCACCTGTTCCCTAAAAACCTATTGAAATAAAAAATGATAAAAATAAAATAATAAAAAAATAAAACTATGTGACTTACAATGATATTGAATACATCAAATAAATACTATCAATCTGAAAAAGATGCACGACACCTCAACAAAAAAATTCATAAAATGTTAGTAGAATAAAAAGAAGAGAAATACTTTCATGGATTTAAGGATATGATGTTGTAAATATGTCAACATATTTCAAAATATTCTCTACATTACATGTCGTCTTAATCAGATTCCAATAAAACTTTGTGTAGTGGGTTTGTGTAATA